ACACCAAAAGAAGAAAAATATTTTATTAATGCTTTGCATACGTGAATGGCTGTTTTGTCTTCAATATGATAAGCTTGTGCGAATTTCGAGAACGAGTCTATAATAATGAAGTAAATTTTGTTATCATAATAAAAGAGATCTGTATGTACTATTTGAAAAGGTTTTGATGCGGTTTCGGTGACTATTAGGGGTCCATAAGGTCACAATACCACGATGGTTATTTTTACCTTCGTGATGATGTTTAGTTAACATGATTTGTTCCTCTTTTTCGGCCACGGTATTTATTCTCTTTGAACATCTAATTAATTTTGGGCCTTTTTCCGAGAATTTTTCAAAATATACTTTATTAAAACTTTGATATAGAGAGTCGTTATGAAAATTTAAATAGTATGTTCTCTTCATAATTGTATAGTCTTTTAAAAATTCTAAAATGAGGTTACCATTATTTTCAATAGGAATTTTAACATTTATAATTTTGTGATTTTCATATGTTTCTTGAGTAATAGTTAGTTTAGGATATGGGTGAGGTGTAACTATAATTTGATTCACTTTATCGTTTATTATTGCGTCCAATATTCTTATACCATCATTAGTAGTTTCGTTATAAGTACTGTGTTGGGTTAAGTCAGAGTCGTCACTGATCTGATTGTCAGGGGGTTTAATTTGAATGTCAGAAATAATTGAAATTTTTGGTTGATCGTTAGTACTTGTCGATGGTTCAACAGGTAGTCTTTTCTCGAGGAGGTTATTTAAAAATTGATCTAGTTCGCCTGGATCTCTAATTTCACCTGGATTATTAATTATTGATTCGTTTTCTAACGCATTAATTACTATTTGTGATAACGCATCGCAATTTTTATTTAGGTTCCTTTTTTATATACAATATCATAATCGAATTCTTCTAAACGGAGTCTCCAACGCATTAATTTTGAGTTTGGCTCCTTAAGATTAAATAGCCAAATTAATGGTCTGTGGTCACAATATATGGTGAAACGCACACCCCATAAATAAGGACGAAAAGTTTTGCAAGCCCAAACTATGACAAGCAATTCTCTTTCTATCGTACTATATTTTTGTTCGGATTCGTTTAGAGTCCTTGACACATAAGCGGAACCTACAGGACCTTGTGAAAGTACTGCACCTAAAGCTACACTAGATGCATCTGTGGTAAGTACAAAAGGTTTCGAAAAATCTGGATATTGGAGTATAAGAGAATTGATTAACAAATGTTTACAGGTATTAAATGACGAAATAAAATTTTGATCATGTTTCACTTTAGAATTTTTCTTTAGACATAATGTTAGCGGTTTTGTTATTTTAGCAAAATCTATAATATATTTCCGGTAATAACCTATTAAACCTAGAAAACTTTTAATTTCCTTTTGCGTATTTGGCATCGGGTAATTTTTTATAGCATTTATTTTGTCTGGGTTAGGCTTAACGCCTTCGGGAGTAATAATGTGACCTAAGTATGCGACTTCCTTGCGAAGAAACTCGCATTTTTCTAATTGAACTTTGAAATTAGATTATCTTAAATGGTCAAAAACAGATTTTAATCTTTCTATGTGTTCTTGAAGATATGTCGAAAAAATTACTATGTCGTCTAAATAAACTAAGCAAGTTTTGTTGTATTGTCCATCACTCTCTGAAAAGTTGAGGGTGAGTTACGAAGTCCGAAGGGCATTCTTTTAAATTTGTAGTGTCCGTTTTGTGTCGAAAAAGCTGTTTTAGATATGTCGTCTTCGTGCATTTGGATTTGGTGGAATCCGCTTGCTAAGTCAAGTGTTGTGAAATATTGGCTTTTGCCTAGTTCGTCTAAAATTTCTGTTATGTTTGGTATGGGGTATTTGTCGAGTATAGTTTTTTCGTTAAGTTTTCTGTAGTCTATAACTAAGCGGAAATTTCTTTTTCCTGATTTATTAGGACGTTTAGGAACAATCCAAATAGGGGAAGAAAATGGAGAACTTGAGGGTTGAATGATACCTTGATCTAACATTTTTTTGACTTTTGACTTCTTCTTTGTAAACTTTAGAATATCTGTACGTTTTAGTAAATATGGGTGATTCATCGGTTAATTTTAGTCTATGTTTAATTTGATTAGTAAATGACAGGGGAATATCTTCACAATAAAATATATCGCGATATTCAAAGCATACATTTTCAATTGCATATTTTTCCTCTAAATTACAATGATTTAAGTCAATATTTTTTAAATTATCTTTTAAGAGATTATCATAACATTCTTCAATGTCCTGATCAATTTCCCTTTTTTCTAAGAAATTAATCTCGTTGATGTTTATATTTTCTATCTCTAAAGGTTCTAAGAATTCTAATTTTGCAGGTTTAGTGTTTGAATTTATTATAGTAGTTAGGGCAAAATAATTTTTTTAAGTTAACTAGAGCAACAAGGGATTCAACCAGAGGAGAATATTTTTTATAATCTAGTAATCCAACACCTTCTTTTATGTTAACGGGTATTTTGACTATTTGTTGAGTTCTAGGGGGTATAACTGAATAATAATTTATAAATTGAATATTTTGATGTATCGTCTTCACTTTTATACACAATAGGAATTTTTACATACAGGATAGTTATAGTTATTGAACTTATTTTAATTTTAATTGTTTTAATAAATTAATTCCAATTAAACCATCGTATTAATCACTAAATTCGAATAGATAAAATTTATGATATTCTGGGACATTAAAAATTTGAAAAACAGGTATATTTACTACCTCGTCATGACATGATATATTATGAGCATTTTGAATATAAAAATTTTCTTTAAAAATATTGTTGTAGTAAAACCTATAAGCTAAATCCGGTTTAATTAAACTACGAGTACTTCCAGTATCGATTAAGAAATTGGCATTGAGTTCGGGGATAAAGATATACGGTAAATTGTTCCTAGATAAATTTAAATTTATTATGTAAGATTCTTTGGTGAAGTCTCCTGACGAAAATATACATCACCGGAGTTATTTTGATTTGCTTAATTTTGAGGAGTATCATTAAATGGTAAATTATTATGTTAATTTTCGAAAAAAGCGGTAGCTTGTTGATTATAGTTATAATTATTGAAATTGTCATAACTTTCGTAATCATTATTTTCGAAAGAGTTGTCTAATTGTTGATTTACATCATGAGCAAATATTTCGGTACGAGCAAAATTTTTTGATTTGTTATTCTTGTATTTCTCAAAGAGGTATCCATGGGTTCAGGTTAAGAAACTTATAATTTGGGTTACGATTTGGAAAATTTCTAAATTGGCTTGAATGAGGGTCATTTCTACTGATAAGGCTTTGTTGATTAAAATTACGAAATCTTTGTTGGGGGAAATTATTATTATTATTAGGTATCCATTGCATTTGGGAATTTTGAGGAGCAGGGCGATTAAAATTAGAATTGTTGAAATTGAAACCAGAGTTTGATTGAAATTGAATTGGTTGCATCGACGATTGTTGCGGGGGTATATGTTAATTATTTGGTTGTATATTTTGAAAATTAGGAGGATAGAAAAATTGGGAAAGATGTGGGCGAACATTTTGCGGATTTTGTCGAATTATTTTAGGACTTGTTTTATAATTTTGATTAATTAGAGAATTATTTCTATTTTGACTGTATAGGAAATTTTCTTCTTCAATGACTAAGGACATTGCTCTTTCTAAACAATCAGGATTACGAAGACGCACATTATTTTGTAATTGGCCTGTTAAGCCCCTAATATAAGTCTTAAGAGCTAATTCGTTATTATTATTAATTTTTACTCTTTTTTCATTAATTGTCTCATTACTTGAATTTAATTTACATATTACTAAACTACGCGCTTCTTGACAGCGCATGCCAAAATTGTGTGGCGTTTCATTTCTGTGTAAACTTAAAACTATTAGATCTTGGACAAGACAATCTATATTCCTTTGATCACCAAAACTTAATCTAAGGGTTTCTTTAATCTTATCCCATGTTCTCAATTCAGTTCTTGAACCTATAAGCATTAAAGCTCTACCTAATAATCTATCCATTAGAGCTCTTAGGAGAAAACTATTTAACTGCGTGTTTGTTGCACTCAAAAATTGAGTAATAAAACTTTCACAATTATCAATAAAAATATTTATTGTATGCGGATTTCCGTCATAGTGAGGGATGGTATCAGTATAAAGTTTAAGCATTTGTTGATTAGTTTCCGCCGTCGTTACAGTGATAGTTTGTTCTTGAATATTAACAACTGATTCAAATAACCCTGTTAGTTCTTTTAAAGTATTATCGTCAACCATTAACAACAAATTTATCTAAATTACAGCTACGATATCAAAGGTAAAGGAAAAGTATAAAAGGAATTTTTTGACTTACGGTACTATGAAGAAAATTTGCATTTTTTCCCAATAGGATATGTGGGCGATGTGGTCCCTCTTCCCTGGATGGTTTTACAAATTTCTTCTCCAATAGGATATGGACGATTTGGTTCCATTTCCCTGGACAGCTTCTTGAATCTGCACAAAGTATCTTCTGGAGTCACAAGTTCGTTATTGTAAATAAACCGTTAATACGGACCGGTTTCCGATTTATGTCGAAACGTTTTACAATCCTACTGACTGCGCCAAATAAATGTGATTAAGTCCAAAATAACTTTTTAAAAAACAAATTTCAAGAATTTTATTACTAGTTTCTACAATGAATGCTAAATTGATAATAACTGTTTCACATAAAATAAAGGAAAGGTGGAATGAACGTGAGAATGCAAGCCTTGCATTCTCCTGGCATCGAGTTCGCTGTACTGCAACAATAACTTGCTCTATCTTACTCTATCTCAATGGTTAAAATACTGTTAGACAGAAAAATATCCAATTTATTATAACGTATATGTCCTTACTGTATATTTTAAATCACAAAACAGTAATTAGGAACTGAAAACCAATTTTCCATCTGACAAAGAATTAATTAATGAAAATACGACTTTAATTTGTCGAAATTTTATATATAAAAGTTAATTAATCCAAAAATGTTAAACATGAATGAGAATTTATTGAAGAAAAGGAAAAACCTGCCATGTATTACGTTTTATGAAGTTTTAATTACCGACGCCAGATTTACACAGTAACTAAAGTTTTTAATAAAACTGGTCGCAGAAGTTGCTGTTTTAACACCAGTGGCGTGTTACTGATAACATTATTTGCAGTTTTTTTTAATCTCCATTATCAAACCAAAACATTCTAATATATTCAATGCTTTAAAAAAACGCAGTGTAATCAAGAAATACATTTACTGCTTTTTACGACGTATTTTAGAATACTACAGTATCATTTGACACTCGGCGAAATAGACAGAAGTGAAAGTGTATATACAGACTGTTATCATTGAAACAACTATTTGGAAACTCAATATTTATTTGTCGTCTTTACGCTTTGCAAGAAATATAAGAAAACGTTATAGTTCAGGAAGTATTGCTAATATATAAAGTATACATTTATAGTCCAGACATTAATATAAAATAATATAATTAAATTGAAATACAATCATTACACAGACGAAATGTGATATTTAAAGTAGGGCGAGTGAAAAAACGAATTTTCGAGTATCGAATTCTAACAGGACATATTCTAATGGAGCGGATTTTATTAGTTCATATTCTAATCTGGATTTCAATTCTAATAGTACGGATTCTAATAATGATGATTCTTATAGTAAGGATACTTATCGCGCAAATTTTGATATTGCGGATTCTAGTAGTGCAGATTATAATAGTTCGGATTTTAACAGTGAAGATTATAATAATAAGGATTTCAATCGTGCTGATTTTAGTAGTGCGGATACTAGTAGTCCAGATTCTAACGGAGAGGATTATAATCGTACATATTTCAAAAGTGGGGATTATAGTAGAGCAGATTCTAATAGTCCGGATTTTAATAGTGAAGATTTTATTAAGGATTCAGATCGTGTTGAGTTTAAGAGTCCGGATTCTAGTAGTCCGAATTTTATTAGTGCGAAAGAAAAACAATCGTGCGAATTCTAGGATTCTATTAGTGTGTTTTCTAATATTTATGGTTCAAATACTACGAATTATTATAATAGTGCCTATTGTATTAGTGCAAATTTTAATAATTGGGATTCTAATACTGAGGATTCTAATAGTAATAATATTAATAGAGCGGATTCTAAAGGTGATGATTAGAATAAGTTCTAACATTGAAGATTCTAGTAGTCATGATTTAAATATTGCTGATTCGAATAGTGCTGATTCTAATAGTGCGGATTCTAATATTATACAGGGTGTACCAATAAAAACTACTAAGTCGAATATTTTAATTATGTAAGAGCCAGTTTGTAGAGCGCTAGAACAGCTTTAGTTTTGGATATAAATTAATTTTAAATAGGTCAATATGTAGATGGCACCGCGCTCAACAATTTTTTATTCGATTTTTATATAGCGCATCTTGTAGAACAGTTTCATCTCGTTTTTAGGCATTATTTATTGGATTTTTAGAAAATGCTAAAACTGGTCGATTTTTATTCCAAATTGAATACATTTTTGCAATACAATTTTCACTTCTACAACTCCTTAATTTTAAATAAAGAATGTACTATGTACGGTACATCATTGACAAGGTAATTTTATGGGGAAATCAGAAATATGACTGTTTATTGAGATTTTATTGAGATTATTAATTTTAGCGCCTTTTATCGGGATAAAAATCCTGTAACGTATTATAAAGTGTGACACTTTATTTGAAAGTTAATTTATTTACTTATTCAATGCACCACATAAAATTATTATATTTCCATGTTGCACTTGCAACAAAATAAAGTTAGCAATATTGTTTAAAATAATGCATGGCTAATTTTCAAACTATTACAGTGCAATATGGAGGATATTTATATTAATATGTGGTGCATTAAATTAGTAATTAAATTTGCTTTCAAATAAGGTGTCACGCTTTATAATACGTACAGATTTTAATATCGATAGAGGGCGGTACAATTAAAAGTATCGCAAAGAATAGTAATATTTCTAAATTCCTATTAAAATTACCTTTTTAATTATGTACTACACATTGTAGTGTCACACTCTATAATACGTAGTAGTTTTTAATCCTGCTAAAGGGCGATACAATTTAGGTAACGCAATGTACAGAAATATTTCTAAATCCCCTATTAAATTACCTTTTCAATGAGGTGCCAAGGGAGGGGATTGACACGTGACAGATATCTGTATTGTAAAAATGTTTTTAATTTGGAATAAAAATTAACCTGTTTTAGCATTTTCTTAAAATCCAATGTTTAATGCTGAAAATCAGGATGAGACTGTTTTGAGTGACCCACTCTGTATATTAAAATTGGCTAGATTTACCGATTAGTACATAAAACAAAATCTGCTTAAAAATGCATTTTTTTAAGATGCGCTACCCAAGATTCTTCCTTCGAAAAAAAAATTATTGTACGCAGCGCCATCTATATATTGACCTATTTAAAATCAATTAATATCTAAAACTGAGGCTCTCTAAGCGCTCTGTGATATGGCTTTTACAGAATTAAAATACCCCTACTTACCAAAATATCCGGCCTAGGAGTTTTTATTGGTGTACCCTGTTGATTATATTGGTAGTGACCTTAGACAAAAGAGACCAGAGATACATGGTGTTAAAAAAAAAGTGTCACAAAATAAAACGGGGGGTAGTATGGGCCAAAATATGCAGAAAAGTCTTAATAAACATATGTCCACATGAATTGTTTCAGAGATACGGAGTGTTTTGTGTTTCGTATCATTTTTTGATTATCTTTTTTCATTCTCAAAAACTTGCCTTTCTTATCGGAGTCTACCGATGTTTTTTCATAGATACTATTTGCAGTTATTATTTTGTTGTGGGTGAATAATTTTATAAATTTTCGTTATGCCTGTTTACACTAATATTGAATTAGCTGACATGCATTTTATGTACGGTCGTGCAAATGGCAATTCGAGGGAAGCGCTACGTCAGTATTTGAACATCTCATTTAACTCTATGCATGTTGTTATTGATTGTTTATAAATATCATTGTTTTTTATAATAATAAAAAATTGTTATAAACACAAAATGGTCCGTACTCCGAAATCGTTAATTTGTGGTCATATATTTATTAAGACTTTTCTGCTTATTTTGGGTCATACTATTCACCATTTCATTTTGTGACACTTTTTTTTAACACCCTGTATAACATACACCGGTGTTTAACCTGCGCAAATGTTGCCAATTTCTAAAGAAAGGTTAACGGAGTGGGGAAACTGAGCAGGGACCCGAACTCTGTGACAGGGACCGGACTTTGTTTATTTAATGAACTATTAGATTTATTTAAAATATACGTTCAATGAAATTTTGTATTATGAAATAAATTTAACGTGATTTTTTAATATCAAACAGATGCCACGACATTTTATGTAAAGAGAAAACCTTTTATAGAATATTTCGTTAGCTATTATTTACTACGGACTTTTCTGTAGGACACTAGAGTAAAATGTTAAAATAGAATATCGTTAATCGAGTAAAAAATGGTACTTATTGTCTAAGAGTATTATAAAAAAAAGCATGTGCGCAGGCGAATACTGCAAATCAAACCTTGTGAGTTGAACATTATATTTTTTCTACGACTATCACATAATATTAAAAATTAGTCAAAATGAGAAAATGATGTTTTGTATTACATAGATATATTAAAGCTTGTTTCTTTAGGAATATTAATTAATATAGAGCATGATTCACGTAAAACTCCAGAAATGCATATGTTTGAATCCAGATAACATTTTAAAATTTAAACCTATTAAAAGTCATTTGGTCGCTAGGAGTGGGTGATTATCGAAATAAAATTATTGATTATTACTAATAATCGATTATTTTCGATCAAACAATCTATTTTTGTTCGTATTTCCTTTAAAATCGACTACTTGATTATCTTTGAAAAATGAAAAATAACCGATTAACTAAAAAGCCAATTAAGCGATAAATCAGTGTTTACAAAAAATAATAAACGAATTATCGTTTATTTTAAATAATCGATTATTTTTAAATAATCTATTTTTTTCGTATTTCCATTGAAACAGATTATTCGATAATCTTTTAAAAATCTAAAATAATCGATTAAACAAAAATAATCGATTAATCAAAAATAATCGATTAGTTAAAAAGTCGAATATCCGATAAATCGATTTAAAAAAAAAAGTATTATTTCCTTTAAAATCAATTGTTCGATCATTTTTAAAATATCGAAAATAATCGCTTAATCGAAAATAATCGATTAAGGGAAAATAACCAATTAATTAAGAAGCCGATTCTACGATTTTCCAAAAAAATAACTGAATTATCGATTATTTTCAAATAATCCTTTTATTTTCATATCTCATTTAAAATTGATTATTTGATTATCTTTGAAAAATCGAAAATAATCGATTAACAAAAAGCTGATTGACCGATAAATCGATAATTCTAAAATATAACCGAAATATCTATTATATAAAATAACCGATTATATTCGATCAATCGATTATTTTCATATAATCCATTTTTTCGCATTTCTTTTAAAACAAATTATTCGAATACCTTTGAAAAATTGAAAATAATCGATTAATCGAAAATAACCGATTAAGCATAAATAACCAATTAATTAAGAAGCCGATTCTACGATAAATGGATTTTCCAAAACAAAAAAAAATAACAATTATTGATTTTATACAAATAATCCTTTTCTTTTTTCATATTCCTTTTAAAATTGATTATTTAATTTTCTTTGAAAAATCGAAAGTAATCGATTAATAAAAACCTGATTGACCGATAAATCGATAATTCTAAAAAATAACCGAAATATCGATTACATAATATAACCGATTATATTCGATCAATCGATTATTTTTATATAATCTATTTTTTGTATTTTAAAACAAATTATTCGAAAACCTTTGAAAAATCGAAAATAATCGATCAATCGAAAATAATCAAAAAATCGAAAATATTCGGTAAATCGAAAATAATCGATTAATTTAAAAAGTCGATAAAACAATAAATCGATTTTTCTAAAAAAAAACGATTATTTTCAATAAAGCGAATATTTTGAATAAATCTATTTCCTTTTTATAATCCTTTTATAATCGATTATTTCATTACCTAAAAAAACTAAAACCATTTTTTGGAAATGTTCGATTAATCAAAAATAATCGATTAAAAATAATCGATTAATTATAACGGATAAATCGATTTTCATGAAAACGATAAATCGATTATTTTTGTAACTCCTATCGGTCGCATGCTTTAATCCTAGCATTTAGCTCCAAAATTTAGAGATTCAGATTTATTAATCCTGTTATCTTTGAAACTGCATTCGATTGTATAATAAATATTGCTAGAATTGTGCTAGATTTCTTGAGTAAACGAAAATTTTTTTTCGAGTTGTTTGGGGGTTTATAATGTAACATTTTACTAATAATATGACTAATTTCCGTAACTTTAGTATTTTTTTTTGCTTATACTAAATCATATTGGGCGTTTTATGTTGTTTTAAGACTTAAGATACAAATGTTACTTCCGACTTAACCGCAAATAAAATGAAACTTAAAATTTTAAGTAGGTGAACCTGTATTCCATCTAATATTCTTGTAAAAATACCTAATAAAGGGCTAAAAACCACCTTTAGTAAATATTCTAATAAAACTACTTTTTAAAAACAAAATTTCGTTATAAACAATGCCTATTTACTTCTTATTTAGATTAAATGTTTAAAATTTTACTCTTTTGTAAATTAATGCATTATGAAATCTATTTTCTGAAATATTATGTAATTGATGATTAATATTTATTAAACCCCTTAATGCAAATCTGAAGTATTCAGCTCAAAGAACATGGCGACTTTATGTCAAAACGTCAACAAATATTTACCGCTGAAAACGAATATATTTCTTATTTTTCATAACATTGACATTTATATTATTTGTATATACAATTTTTCACCAAACATCGTGGCATTTTTAACTTGAAATTGAATAACTAAAAC